CAAATCCACTGCCACAAATACCGTGCCCACTACAATACTTTAAATTCACCGACGAAGTTTTCGACCACTCATCTCGAAATGTGGTTTTGAGGGCAGAGTCACTTCGCATTTCAACTTCAATCGATAGTCGTAATTCCAAATTAGTTACAAAGGAAAGGTTGGCAACATTTGCTTACTTTCTTGTATACTTCTTGAAGTCATCAAGGAAAGTGGCCGTGCGCGCAGCAGTGAATCGTGGGTATTCTTCCGCAGTGAGTTCATTCATCACAATGTCGGCAATTCGACGTTGCCTTTGTTCAAGCTCCAAATCCGGTTCCGCAAGCAACTGTTCTGCGCCCTCTCCCAGACCCAGTGATTCCACATACTTCAGCATCCGACCGTAATTGGAGTCAGGTACACTGTAACAAAATTAGATAATTATTAATTTACTGAAGGGTCCGCTAGCGACCGACCTGGTACTGGCCACACCGACGACATCATCGTCGTCCATGCTGCTCTCCTGATCAGGTTCCTCGTCCAGTTTTCCCGTTTGTGGAGCTGCTCGTTTCAACTCATTAATCCGTTCAGCGGTATCAGCAAAATGTAGCAATCTCTTCATTAAGAACTTATGTCTTCTGAAGATAAAAAGCACATCTTCGAGTGTGATTACGTCCCTATTCTCTGTGGCAGCCTGCTTCCAAGCATCTTCAAGAGCTTTGACCATTTGATATTTAGCCATGTCCAACACCATCTCAACGCTAGACGGCAACGGATCTTCAAGATCTCCGTTACAGTACATCATCTGACGGACCACTTCGCGGTAGTACGCTGTCAATTCAAGCATATCGTTGCTGTTGTTGTTGCTCCGAGACATTTTTTCCATCTGAAAAACACAGAATCTGAGATAGTTGTACAAGCAGACACATGATGTAACGCAGATATATCACCAGTTAAAGGCATAATGCGCGATAAGTTGGTACTCGGTCTCAAATGGTAACGCGGGTGTTATATAGTGGGAAAACGGCGAAAAAGGAATGGAACGGTCAAAAAATTGCGAAATAACTTTTGTTCTACCCGACTCAAAAAGCAATTTCGGACGAGTTTCCCTTTGGCATCGTGCCAATAACCGCTACGGTAGACACGGCTGCATGTACAGTCGCCACCCGGGCAGTTGATTAGTTTTCTTTTTTCTTCTGTGATGATGCTACCAGATGTAGTACGAGTTGGCAATCTAGTAATATCTGGATATGCCTACTGAAGGGTAAAACTTATCCGACCAACCCGTTTGAAGCTGTCGATTGAGCACTGCCGCTACAGTGATTAGGATGCGTCGACTTCGAGGAACCGTAGAAGGTTCCGCACTATCTGTGGATTTACGTTTCTTTTTTTTATTCGCATGATCTCCCACTGAATAAGCGTTTATACTTTCGCGAGCAGGGGACATCGCTGTTGGGGATTCCCGCAAGAGGAGAGGGGGAGGGAGTCGTAGTTGGTTCAAGAAAAATTTATAGTTTATAGATTTTTTTTTGTTCAGGAAACGTAATGGGAAGGGCGGGGTCGTATTCATTCATTGTTAGTAGGGGGCTCGTATTGGACTGCTGGCCTTTGAAAGAAGTTGATTTTTCGTGTGTTTTCCTGTTTCACATGTACCGTGTACCTCGACAGCAAAATTTTTGGGAAAACTAGGAAATTGTGGAAATTTCGGAGAAAGGAGGTTGGGAAAACGGAAGAAAGTTGAAGGTAGGATGGGGAAGAGGGGGGGGTATACACCGCCCAAAAAAAAAGAATGGGGGGGGGTGTGCGGACTTTGACGCGAAATTCTAAAGCACAATGATGTGCCCTGTCGCACAGTGCGACGTACCTGCTCTTCCGCTATGGTCGGATCGCTTGCCTATGGCTAATTCAATACTAATTGGGTAACAATTTCTTTCATACCCTTACAACCCACATTACCAATGGAGTGCGGTTCGTCGCAGCCGCGAAGTACGAAAATGGGGTGAGGAGTTGCACGGGTGCATCAGTTCTTTTCGTCGTCGTGGTCGCTCGCTCTGAACTGGTTTAGGTGATTAAAGACGTGAGGCGTTGGCGAGCGATCCTAGAAGTTTGGTAAGGTGTATTTAGGAATCACCTGTTAGGAAGTACAACTGAAAGTGTTCTGTGCAGCGCCGGGTTTTTTCTAGTACTCAGTTTTCAACTCTGACTTGATTTTGATGAGATTCAAGAGGAAAAACCATGTAACACTTTGCATTCCCTCACAAACTCAGATAAGACGGTTGGTGTTATTTTTGAGTTCCAGGTATGCAAATAGGTCTATAACATGGAAGCAAGTTGAATAACTAGTAAATGGAGAACTAGGTTCTTTTCTCACGGTCAGTTTCTTCCCTCAATAAGGTATCAAGGAAAGTTAGTAAGATAATTGAGTGATGTAAAGTGGTATAAAATATTGTGCGTGCACGGGTAGGAGAACTTTTTCTGAAGAAACTACAAGAAATCTATGTGCAGCCATGGTGGCACTGATGACATGCGTGTCATTGTCTTTTCTGGAGAGTTGTTTGAGTCACTTTCTCTTAGCAGATGGTAGGACCTTACATCGCACGTATTGGCGCGAAAATAGCGTTGCCACAGATGACGTTATGTGCGGGGCAATTCGTAGCAGGACCTAATTGGTTTACCGTAGTGCCGTATGACTCAACCAGCTAGGAAACATCCAATTAGGCGTGTCCTCTAAGCGTGGATAAGACGTCTCCAAACTTTACCATCCCCAGTTAATATACCTCAGCCCTCTAATATGTTACTAATATGGTCTGCCTTATCGGCCTTCTTCTTTGCAAACGTAGCTGCGCTCATTTTTTTTTCAAAAAAGTGAGCTCATGGCGGAAGGGATTCGTTCCGAATCACTTACCAAATATCACCACTAATTACAAGAAAAACAGACTCTCAAGTGATGGACCAGGTGGTGATTCGCAGCTGTCAAAAGTTCGGGACAGGTGGGCAAAAGTAAAGCGCGTGTTGTTGTTGGCCCGCACGACGAATTGCAAAACACACGGCAATTCCTGGGGATTGTTTTGTGTATCGCGGTTTCTTTTTTTGTGAAGGCCCGCCTCCATGGTACTTTGAAGAAAGCGCATGCAATCGCAATTTCACAGGCTACAGAACTCCATGTTATAGGAGGGAACGCATGCATGGAAAAAAAAGCGTAAGAAACCGTCCGAAACGCCTCAAATGATATCTGGAAATGAGGATTTTGGGCGAGTATCGAAACTCAGCGTCCGTTTGCAGGGTACAGCATCGTGATGTGTGAAGTGGCCCCATGTCAGTAGCGTCCGCGCCGAAAATTGTCCTGGTACGACCTCCCTTCTGATTCCAAATGTTTGCTCTGACGAGAAGGACTGGATACGTAACAACTCGCAAGCGCCGGCGTCAGCATTATGATTCCATGGCAAACTAGCGGTGGAGCAAATCCGTTGGCCGGGTGGAAAACGCGGGCTTTTTTTGCAGGGTGATAGCTTCTCTAGAAACGGGAGGCGGTATGTTGAAGCAATGTCTGTACTGTTACGTTTTCTACCTATTGATCCTTCCTCCTCTCGTGAAACATTTCGGATGGAATATGGACGCGTTAGTGGTAAATCGCGAGCGGGTTTTTATGCTTTAGACCAGAATAACTTCTTTCAAGGCCCAATCTTTGTGTTGAACAAAAAAGGGCCATCACAACGCCTAATATTTCCTCTTTCAACAAACTTTACAGTTTTCCTGGAGACTCACTAGTTGCACGAGATATTTTTAAAGATGTGTCACCCTTTGGGCGGCGATTCTGGGTCACTCAAAAGCTCGACGCCTGTGCACTGAAAGTACTCATTCTCGCGAACTTCAATATGCCTTTGAAACCGGTGTAACTTCTGATTTTAGTTGATTTTTGTCCATGCAAGCGGATGCTTGTTCAGATTGAAGGTCGATACGCCCGAATCAGTTTGAGATTTATTATTTATTATAGTCATCTACGTACTTACAAGTTCGTGGTAACCACTTATATTGCTAGTCAACCGTTTTAATATATTTATTGTAGCCTTCCTTACATCCGGGTCCTCT